AGTGAGAATCAAACATCCTAAGTACATTGCCTTTCTCCTGCCTGAACATTCCCATTCTCCACAATAGCTTTGTTGTGTTTTATCAAAATTAGCACTATATGTACAATACATACATATATATATATATATATATATATATATATATATATATATATATATGCCTTTGCCACCAAATTAGATAACCAAACGGATAAATGCTCAGCAGATGCGATAAAATTCTATTATGATAAAAACATTCAAGGCAATATGTCACGCTTAATTAACAAGATTATATCGATTATATATCAATAAAGAAAAAAAAGGCATAACATATAAATTAGTTCTATCTTACCAGATGGTTGTAGGCATTGTATATTGAGATTTATTGCTTCGACAGATGAAGTTTGATAAATAGTTTTTTTTTCTAAGTAAAAGGGGAACTAAAATCAATGTTACAGATTAGGAAGGAAATATTATCGTTTCAATTACGAATCTTTGTTTCCGTGATAAGCTCCTCTTCAGTGCAGTTGTCGGTCACATGTAGGCAAGGCTTTCTTAGGTTTTTCTAAGTGGGGCAAAAAATGCTGACAATTACTAATTAAACGAAGACAAAACAAAAAGGGAAAACGGGAAAATCTGAGAGGAAGTGCAGAAGAAGTAGGAAACGAAAAGACAAAAGAAGAAAAACAAAAAAAAGAAATTGTAAGATGTTGGAATAATAATAATAATAATAATAATAATAATAATATTAATAATAATAATAATTACTTTACAATACACAAAAACAGAACAATTAAAGACCACATGAAAATAATGTCCTTTCTTATCGATAAGGGAGACCCAGCAGATTGTAATAAAATGTAATAAAACAAAATACAAGTATATTGAAGTGAAAAATCTGAAAAATGTGGCGGATGAGGACATCAATAATTCCAGTTTATAGATTTAATTTGAAAAGGTTCGGATAGACTCAATGAAGGTATTCTTGTCAGCCAATGCCTTAAAGAAATACAAAAAATTGTCGTCACAAATACGGCTCAGGCATCAAGAAGAGCATTATCTATATAAAATTTGTGTGATCTTAGTTTAAATGATCAGTGGAAAATGTGATAAATTAATTTCTGAGATTAAGTCTCTTGCTGGGACACAACAGAAATCAAAGGAAATAATAATAATAATAATAATAATAATAATAATAATAATAATAATAATAATAATGATAAATCACGAAAATGTGGCATATGGGAACATCAACAATCCCTGTTGTAGTTGGAGCCCTACGACTGGTTGGAAAAGATTCCAGTAGACTAATTGAAGGGATTGCTGGAAGTCCATGCCTCAAGGAGATACAAAAAATTGTTCTGAGAAGTACAGCCCACACTTTACGAAGGGCTTTATCTATGTTATTTTTTTTTTGTCAGTAGAAAGTGACATGATGCCATTTCTAACCTTTGGTCCCTGGGCGAGACCCGGAAAGAAATGCCAGAAATCAAAGAAAATAATAATAATAATAATAATAATAATAATAATAATAATAAGAAGAAGAAGAAGAAGAAGAAGAAGAAGACGAAGAAGAAAAAGACGTGCAATAAAAAAATAGAAAAGTGAATACAGAAGTAGAAAGAAAGAAAGAAAGAAAGAAAGAAAGAAAGACGAAAAAGAAAGAACACACACAGAAGAGAAGAGAAATGAAATATTTAGATAGTATTGCAATACCCAGAAATCTGGTGACAAAATATAACTTTGTCGTATCCGACATCTAATTTGGTGAACTCAATTCGTCTTCTATTTTCGCATACAAGTGATTTTCTTGTTCCTTCTAAAGACATTTCACTCTCTTACACTTGAGAGTAGCCACTTGCATATTAGTGGCATTAACATCGCCTCAGTGGGGTGAATATATATATATATATATATATATATATATATATATATATATATATATATATATATATATATATATATATTTATATTTATATATATATATTTATATATGCATATATATATAAATTATTATTTTTTTTTTATCATATATATATATATATATATATATATATATATATATATAATAAAATATTTTTTAATGTATGCTATATTTATGTACTTAATATCAAGATTAGAGCATATGTAATTAAAAAAGTGAACATTAAAAGTCAACTTCCGCAGGCGACAATCTGTTTCATACACACACATATATACAATCACGCACACACACACACCCACATATATATAATATAACACACACACACACACATATATAATATAACACACACACACACACACACACACATATATATATATATATATATGAACTTGTCTACATACTTAGAGACTATTAATGAAAGAATATAAAAGGAAGGTTAAGCAGTAAAATAGAATTATTCTGAAATTTTTCTGACACATTTTTGCTGAAATTAAGAAAACTGAAATAAAATAATACTACATAAAAAAATAAAAAAAAATACTTCTCAAACAGGATCAACAGGATCTTTGCTAAAAAATCAAGTCAGTTTTCATTATTTTGTTTACATTGAGACGTTCCTTGTAATCGGATCTTGTACGCTTGTAATATATATCTATTATTTGACAAAAGAAACAACGAACATTGCAAATATAATTTTCTGGCCATCAATTAATATGCGTGAAAATGTCGAGAGATAAAGTCATATGAAAAATGATTTATTACTGTTTCAATTATATTGGCAATGAACAGACACCATATCCTCTGTGTGGAAATTGTCATCTCCAAGTCAAGTTCGAAGACATACAGCATTACAAGAGCCTCATCATTATCCACTAACTCTGTGTCGAAATCAATTTGTTTCCAAGCAAATGGTACGATATAATCGCGTTAAACTGGCACAAAGAGAAAAATTTTAAAAATCCCTTTTTTAGAAGATGGTCTCTAAATGGTGAGTAGAGTGTCATGTCTCGTTGGACATCGTGAATGGTGTCCGGTATACGTATGGTGATCGATTTAATATATTTGATATTCTATAAAACTACGAGCGAACAGCATAACTAATTATGTCTAAGACGTAAGATGGCATCATATATTTATATATATATATATATATATATATATATATATATATATATATATAGTGTGTGTGTGTGCGCGCGATGGGTAAATTGTCGCCATATTTGTATATTTAATTTCGTGCACGAGCTTGCTTGTATATGACTTTGTTGACTCCACAATATCGTTGGGTCAGTTGCGTATTATCTGTAAGAAAAAGAGCGTCATGACGCAATTCATTCTGCCAGAAATTTGGGAGCAGTATGCTCTACGACTTGGCATACGAGTCGGAAGTTCCAATACGACCATTTCAGAGCGTTTGGGTGTCAATTTGAGGAGAGTGTAGAAGATTCGGAAAGATTTGGATGCGAGGCCTACATCAAATGCCTTTTGAGGAAGGTATTACTGCCCTGGGAAGACCCTATGTCTTACAACAGGACTCTGCAATATGCTACACAAGCAGAAGAACCCAGTCATGACTGTCAGATAATTTCTGCAAACATATCACCTCTTATATGTGGCCACCTAATTTCCCAGACTACACCTTCCTTGATTAATATGTGCAGGGCACAGATGAGCGAAAGACCAGCAAATCTCTTTGTATCATCAATGATGAACTGAAGGCAAAGATTACGACAGCATTCACCAACTTAAACAGAATGATCGCTCAGAAGAGTTGCAGGAGATTACGATGCTGTCTGGAGGCAGTAGTTGAAGTCAAGTGCAATTTTATTGAATAAATGTTCTATTTAGAATTTCAAGATATTTTTGGGTAATTTTGGTAAATATGTCTGTTAAAATGAGATTT